CTCATCCTCCTCCTCCTCCTCCTCCTCCTCCTCACTGCTACCGCTGCATGTTCGGCCGTTCGCGATCGAAATAATCTCCCAGTTTCTCCGAAGTGGTTGCTTTGATCCCCAACTGCATCCCATCCGGTAAACTAATCCGCCCTTTTCCTATCGTTGCAGTGGATCTGTCGGCCTCGTGACCTGGCGCCTGATAGTTGCCCCCGATCTTTGTGCAATTCCAGCTTGGGACGGTGTGAGAAGGCGGTTGACAGATTCCGTGACGTTCTTCGCGTACGGGCACGCTCGTCAAAATCTGGGGCCGGTTGGATTTTGTCTCTCGTCGCGTTTACGCGGGCATCGGCTGACAAAGTTGTGCGGGTACCCATTCCCCCTAAGCAACCTTGTCTTCTGGTTCGCTGCACTGCGTTTCGATACGTTGGTATAGCGTCCTTACGCAGTCGCGTTTTTGACTGATTGGGTTTTGAAGCAGTGTTTTCCCGGGATAAATTTGAACAAGGCGAAGGCGACAAAGCATGCAGAATTTAATGACGTCATAAATTTCGAGACCTCTCATTCAGCTGCACACGGTCATTGCATAGTTATATTACAACGTAAAACTGCTCTCTAGGTCGATCGTTGATTGAACAGTTTTGCCTTGTAATATAACTATGCAATGACCGTGTGCAGCTGAATGAGAGGTCTCGAAATTTATGACGTCATTAAATTCTGCATGCTTTGTCGCCTTCGCCTTGATTGGGTTTTGTTGTTGATGCTCAGTACTTGCGTCGTATTAGTCGTTTTCCTGCACAGAATGCGGTTGAGGTTTATTTTTGTTTCTTCGCTTTAAATACAGAAGTAAAGAACGCTGACTATGTAATTGCGCCAAACAGCTGGGAACAGTCAGACGAATGTCGTATCAAGTGTAACAATCTGGGATGCATTTAAAGCAGGCATAGGCAGCAGAATTTATTGGAAGCCATAGATTTCGCGACGACTTATCAACTACAGCCTGTTGTTGCATAACACAGATAACAAGTGAGAAAGGTACAGAGGTATGAACTTCCACAGAGAAAATCAATGTAAAACAGCAAGGTCATCGTATACTGCACGAAGACTAATCAATATAATGGTAACTAGAAAAAAGCAACATAGGAAAGAAAACGGGACGTTAACACGACGAGACATTTCGCAAATCAAAAGGGCGCAGATCTACCAGGGCAAACTGCGGTTGACCACATGGTTTAACTGTTTGCACAGGTCGAGTCTCTCCCGTCGTATGTAGGCTGCCTCCAAAGAGCGCAGTAACTGTTATGACCCGCCTGGTACGTGAACTCCTGTGGAGCGTATGCGCACTCGACCCTTTTCCCCAATACCAACGCGGCAGAGAAGGAGAACGCGACCGGCCACGAAACTGTGTATTAGGAAATTGCAAGTCAAAATGAACTGGAAGTAACGCGTATTTATAACGCCTTACGGCGCTTCGCCGGCGTTCGGCCCAATGCCCTTCGGGAAGAACATTCGAGATGAGCCGGTCGATAATTCGAATATGCTGATCGATCAGGCCCGAGAGGAAAAGCCAATGGAGAGGCGCCACGATTAAGATGACAGCGCAGTAGAGAAAACGCACGTGGCTTCCCGTGATTGGCTGGCTCTTGTTTTTGGGAGTGTAGGCATTCCCAACACCTCCCCTCCAAGTAGGTCAGTACCGCTTCTGGCGTGGGTTGACCTGCATCAGACGTGTTGATCGGCGCACGCGGTTGGTTCGGCGTCTTAGTCGTGGTTTAATGCCTGGAGATACGGGAGCGGTAACTGATACCGAAGATGGTATATCCGAAGGGGGCGCAGAAGTGGATTCGGGAACCGACTGATCTGCCGGAATGGCGAAGGTATCCAGTAGGATGTCGAGAGAGAGTGACGGCGCCGAATCGAGCCCAGTTGTGTTACTGCAATGTCGCTGTCGGATCTGGTTGTGGTGGCGAACCCAGACGTCATCACCAACGTCGACGTCAAACAACATACTGCCTCTGTGCGATACTACGGTTGCTTCAATCCAGTCTGGGAACCCCCCTCGATAATCACGAACGAAGACAGGTGTTCCGATGGAGAGCTTGCTGCGAGAAACTGGAGAAGTCTGCGCGGGCTGCGCACCGGTAGGGACGAGGGCATGAAACGTTGTACGCAGTTTTCAGCCCATCAACACTTCGGCAGGAGAAACGGCACCAGGGGACGCCGGGTTCAGTGTTGTCCTGTAGGAAAACAGGAATGCCTGGACTATCTCGTCCTTGGTCCCCTCCCCACGAGCTTTCAGGAGGGCTCTCGTAAACGTGTCGACAAAACGCTCCGCCTGACCGTTAGACTGAGAATGGTATGGCGGGGAGCGAAGATGCTGGATTTTGTGCTGGCGGCAGAAATCCTCAAATAACGACGAAGTAAACTGAGAGCCATTATCCGAAACCAGGACTTCCGGTAGACCATGCTGGCTAAAGATGCATAGTAGGAAGGCGATAGTGGAAGATGCGGTTGCTGGATTCAGCGGAGCAATCTCGGGCCATTTCGAGTAGGCGTCAACCAAGATTAGGTAGGAGACTCCGTTAAGTGGGCCAGCGAAGTCGATATGCACGCGTGACCAAGGCCTCTCCGGTGGTTGCCAGAGTATTGGAGGTTGACGAGGCGGCATCTTGGCAGCTTGCTGACATCGAGAACAGCGTCGAACCAGGTCGTCGATGTCGCCGTCGATACCCGGCCAGTAGGCAAAACTGCGAGCAATAGACTTCATTCGGCTGGCACCAGGATGAGCCGCATGGAACTGGCGTAGTACAGAAGGTCGGAGGGAAGATGGGATCACCACACGGTCTGCAAACATGAGGCAGGAGTCAACCACAGATAGCGATGCTCGGCGGAGGAAGAGCTGGCGAAGATCGCCAGCGAGAGCAGTGGTTGGCCAGCAGGTCTGCACGTAGGTGATGGCCTGGCGGAGGACAGGATCCTGTTCAGTAGCACGTCGGATATCCGCGGCAGTGACGGGGATACCTCGTATGGCGTCTGATAGCTGACGGCGCACATCGTCCTCAATCGAAATAGCTGCAATCACGGTATCTTCCTCCGGTTCCTGCTGATTGCTGATGAGGCGAGAAAGGGCGTCAGCCTGACCAAAGTCTGCAGTACGACAGTAGCGAATGTCGAAGTCGTAACCAAGAAGGATGGTTGCCCATCGCTGAAGTCGGCTGGCTGAGTAGACGGGAATGCCCTTCTTCGAACCGAAGATTGACAGTAATGGTTTGTGATCCGTCAACAACGTGAAGTGGCGACCGTACAACAGTTTGTGAAATTTCTTGACGGCAAACACGAGGGCTAGAGCTTCTTTCTCTATTTGCCCATAGTTCTTCTCCGCAGGGGTTAGCGTGCAAGATGCATGCATGATCGCCTTTTCAGACCCATCAGGAAAAGTATGTGAGATGACGGCACCAACTCCGTGGTTGGAAGCATCTGCAGCAACAACGATCGGCAGCGTCGGGTCGTAGTGCATGAGCAGCAGATCTGAACTCAGCATCGACTTTAGCTGGGCGAAGGCCTTTTCACAGTCGGGGGACCAGCACCAAGGAGCATCCTTCTGCAACAGACGGTTGAGCGTGGCCTGTACGTCATGCAGCGATGGTAGGAAGGCGCTATAGTAACTAATCAGACCAAGGAACGAACGAAGTTGCGATACATTCTTGGGTGCAGGCATCCGTTGCATGGTCCGAATGTTTTCAGGATCTGGATGGTGACCAGTGACGTCAAAAACGAATCCAAGGTACTTGATGGAGTCGAGGAAGAATTGGCACTTCTCGGCCCGTAGGCGAAAGCCATACTCCTGCACGCGTTCGAGTACTGCGCCCACTCGGCCTTGCAGCTCGGCAGGGGAGCGACCCACGATGATGATGTCGTCCAGGTACCCAGCTGTGCCAGGGATGCCGGAGAGCATTGCGTTCATCGTTTGTTGAATTAGGGCCGGGGCGGTCTTGACACCAAAGGGCAGCCTGGTGTATTGGAACAGACCGCGGTGGGTATTGAGCTGGAAAGCGGCCAAGAGACTCTGAGAATTACCAACGCACTGGGGTTTGGGCTTGCGTTTTGGCCGGAAACGGTGCCTGGAATTAGGAGTGGCGGGGGCTGGCTTGCCTCCAGAAGCTGGTACTGATTTGCAGAACCCATCACGGTGTCCCACCTGATTACAGATTTGGCAGCGATGCTGGCGGAAGTGCAGTCCCGGTGGAAATGCCACGCGCCACAGTGTCGACAAGGGGATGGCGGAGATCTCGCCTTGGACACTTGCTTGGGCCGCGATTTAGTCGATGTGACCGAATGGACTGAGAAAGATGAGGCCGGGTTCTGAATCATTGCAGAGTCGTGCTTGAGATTGCTCAGCGTTTGGCACTCTGCTGCCAGCTCTTGGAATGTGGTGGAGTTGTTCTGCTGCACTTTGGACAGGAGACGTGTCCGGATATCAGCATCCTTGGGGGACTGGAGGCCGCAGATAAATATAAGGCATTTAAACTGGCCTTCAGTGAGAGAACCGAGTTGGAAACGCCCACATTCACGATTAACAATGCCCGCATATGTGATGAAATCATCGGAATCTCGTTTGCACAGTTGCAGACACTGAAATCGAGTGTTGAAGAGGGATGATTGCTCACCAAAAATCTGCGACAACGTCTCAACCGTGTCCTTGAAAGCGACCTCTCGGGGATTCTTGGGGAGGATGAAGTTTGTATAACGCTCGTGTTCAGCCGCACCCAGTTTGCGAAGAAGTAGTCGAACCTTCCATGCATCGTCCTGGGCAGCCAGATCGACAGAGAAAAAGTCCTCGTATCGTTTGTACCAGGACTCAAAGGTGATATGGGCGTGCGGGTCATACAGGAATTCAGTGATGCTGCCGGCAATGTGATAAACAGATTGTGAACCACCAGCCGCGCTTGATTGGCCCATGGATGAATTGGATAGCTTGACGGTCAGAGCCTCCATCAGCTTCAGCTGCTGCTGCGACATCTGCTTCAAGTCTGCGTACTCGTCAGCCATTGTAGTTGAAAAACCTGCGTCGCCAATTTGTTATGACCCGCCTGGTACGTGAAATCCTGTGGAGAGTATGCGCACTCGACCCTTTTCCCCAATACCAACGCGGCAGAGAAGGAGAACGCGACCGGCCACGAAACTGTGTATAAGGAAATTGCAAGTCAAAATGAACTGGAAGTAACGCGTATTTATAACGCCTTACGGTGCTTCGCCGGCGTTCGGCCCAATGCCCTTCGGGAAGAACATTCGAGATGAGCCGGTCGATAATTCGAATATGCTGATCGATCAGGCCCGAGAGGAAAAGCCAATGGAGAGGCGCCACGATTAAGATGACAGCGCAGTAGAGAAAACGCACGTGGCTTCCCGTGATTGGCTGGCTCTTGTTTTTGGGAGTGTAGGCATTCCCAACAGTAACCGAGTTTCTCGTGCTCGAACTAATACTCAAAAAGATGTTTTGGGGTCAACCGAATGACCGCTGTCAAGGAGGTGCTTTTCAATAGAAAATCGTGGAATTTTATTCTCCTGCTTTAGAAGCCATGTGAGCAGGTGCTCAACTGACCTGGCTGCCAATTGCCTTTGCGTTCGCCCAATGTACTTGCATCCACAAGTGCATGTTAATTCGTAAACACAATTTGACGTGGCGTGCAATGGCAAGGCATCCTTCGTCCGTGGAACTTGGATAGCCTTCAGAGTATGAGTTCAGCTGAGTTGTATGTTCTTTCAATAGCGCATCTCAATCGCCGCTTGATGGTATTTGGTATCTTAAATTGAGATGCTTGTACTGGCATTCCTCTGTTGGACCCCATACAGTGAGTCAGGTGGGAGGTACATCGACCCAATACGAGAGCCAGATCAGGGTAGGGTGCACGTAATTGTGGCTGCGAATCGATAGCACAAGCCACACATGGAATGTGTGGTGACACGCCCAGTCGCCGGCTCACGCGGCGCCAGCTATCTGCGTCCAAACAGATGGCTGGCAGGCTGGGACGACGGATTTGTGCTTGGGAGAGGGAGAAGAGAAGGGGGACTATGGAGTTTCCGCACCCACGGCCCTTCTGTGCATATTCCTCACTATAAACAATTTAACGCGTATTTAAACTATCATGGTGCGCTAAAAGCCGTGACTTGGAAGGCTGCCAACTGACGGGACAGAGGGTCAGGCTGCAATGGCTCCTTCGTAACGCGGTCGTTATCCCACTCCCACTCAGACGGGGTCCCAGTCATCCACTGTGTTGTTTTTGTGAAAACCCGATCCATCGTGAGCGGACAATGTGGGCAACGGAAAGTACAGAGGTACACTAACAAATTCCATAAAACATGCCTACTTAAATGTCAACAGTAGACAAGTAACAGACTTTTGTGAAAACCCGATCCATTATGAGCGGACAAGGCGTGTGCGGCATGTGCACGAGGTATTTTTTTAGCTTTGTTTACCACTGCTCCCGATCCTGCCTCCAGTCTTTTAGACTCTGTCCAGACAGATAGACAGTGAGAGAGAGTGCGCTGGATGCAGCGGAAGTTTGCTATCGTTGTAGCCTTTTTTACGCACGAATCTCCGTTTATGTGTCCAGCCTGCTGTGGGTGGTCACACGGTGAACATTTTCGTTAGCGACGTTCGGACTGTCGATGTTAGTGCGTCTTCGAAGTTTTGAGAGGGCCTACCTGGCATGCGACCGCTTAATAACATCTTCTCAGAATGCCTTGAATAATCGTCATAAGTCCTGACTGTGGCGGCCGAATTGGGAATAAAGGAGCGGAACAGATTTGCTTCACTTTGCGACCCCGGCGATCATGGGACAATTTTATGAGAATAGGGAACCCGTCAGCAGCATTACTCGACCTGATACCTGAGTGATTCACCCCTCCCGCTTGATTCTGAACAGGACATAGAGGTTCGGTTGTAGTCGCATCGTGGACTAACCCAGGCCCAGCCTAACACAGCCAGTCCAAACATGCTTTATATTGTCAGGCAGGTGTAGGCGTGTCATTTTACGAGAAAACCGTATATGAACTCAAAAGCAATAAAGCGTTCGAATTCAAGTAGTTCTGTTCTTCAAATTAGGGCGAAGTAATCGAGTACTGACCGGAGTATGCCCCGAACAACGCTGGGCAATGGAATACCACAATGTAGGCAACGGAAAGTACAGAAGTAGCACAGCCAAGGCGATGAAAACCCGTAAAACATGCCTATTTAAATGTTAAAAGTATAAATGTTGCAAACCATTATAAAAGAGGTACAACGGGTATGTCAACACGTATCGTTTGTAGGCACCAGTACCGTCGATTTATGCACAATAGCTGAACAGGGGAATTACAAAGTTCACATTTCCAGCCATTAACTCAAGGATTTACGCATTTTCATGCACATCTTCACCCATCTCCTTTCCTGTCAGCTCTAGCACGATTTTAATTTCGAGGGCACTTCCCTGCCAGAACAAATGGGCGTGGCGGTAGACTTGGTGTGATTTTTTCCTCCAAGCTGTCGGTCTCAGGTTTCCTGTCAATCTCAGGGCGTTGACTGTCCTTGGGCTCGATCACACAGTCTTCCCCTTCTCCCCTCCCAACAGAAATTGAGGCATTATTGCCCACTTCGGAGTTTCGAGAGCAGGCACGGTCTGGCGACGAAAACAAAGAGCCCCCCTCCCCCTAAAGCCACAAAAACAAGGGAACAAGCCGAGACTATGTATGCGTTTGTCATGACGGCCTGGCGCTTGCCAATCCATAGTCAACTGTTGACTCTAGTGCGCGAGAAACGCCCTTTATACTGAGCTCATGCTAGGATTGGCAGACCCGAGGGAGACGTTGGTGGAGTTATGAATGACAGGGCGCTTTGGATAGGTCAGTCCAGCAAGTAAACCTTAAGTAAAAAGCCTGCCAGCAAACTGACCTTGATCAGGCCTCAAGAGAAGACTGCCTTCTGTCCCACATGTCTGTGTGATAAGCTCAACCGGAAGACATTCATGAGGTAAAAGCTTGT